ATAAACGATGGCGACGCTGTAACGTTATGCGCAAGCARTTCCAGTAACGCCGTCGATAATACAAAAAAAAAGTTATATCTTATAATTAAATTTTGCACAAAAATAATACATAATAATAAATTATTATAGGTATTATATACTCAGTGCATCATCTGCTCTCGGCGCGGGACGGTTATCGTTTTCCTTCAGCAACACGTATGTGAGTCATTTTTATTTAAACATTACACCGAAATATTGTCCTTATATGTTCTATAWATTCAGGGTCGTATTTTAATTATTTCTTAAATATACGTCGTATAAAATATTTTATTATAATATAAAAAAATATACAAATATAATGATTATATTTCAATTTCTATATCCGCTATTTAAAAATTTGTATTTATCGTAAAAAGAGACTAACACATCACGTTCAATATATTAATGAAATATTTGATAAAAATATCTAATATTTTTAAAATGTTGACCTAAAAAAATACATACACTTGAATAATTAATAAGACGTGATGATATGAGTTGCAAATAATCAACATTCAACAATATTTAAGGACATTGATTTCTACTTAGTGAATGTATTGAATTAATTTAAGTACCTAACAATTATTATGCATGCTATTGAAGTACTTGAAAAACAATTAAATAATATATATTATTATAAAATATAAGTAAATAAATGTAATAGTTTATAGCTAGTTGTTTTTCTAATATCATAATAAATTACTAATATTAATAATGTTATTTAGCACCTAATTTAATGTTTACATTGTACAATATGTCAATAACCTTAGTTGTTGCGGCTCTAATAGATAAAAAAAAGCGGGTAAGTGGATGTCGCTCTGCTGTAGCTACATTAGATGGTGGGGTGGACCTCTGACTAGGGTAGGTTAGATTTGAATCCAATGATAGGTATCATTGTATACGAAAAACGATTCTGAACGGAGATGATTTGTCAGTCTAGGATATATTATATTTAAATATTGTCATATTATATATTCTATTTTGAAACAAATATTTTATTTTGCAATTAGGACGCATTTTGAATAAGGCATGGTTAATCAATTTTTTCAAAAAACATTGCATGTAGTTATCATAATTCATAATACCTTATATTATCATATATATACATATACCTGATTTCATAAAAATTTAAAACTCAAATACTCAAAACATTTTCCTATAATTACGCTTTGAGTTTTCTCTATAGCTACTTGTAGAAAAACTTATGGAAAACTTAGTGTTGTATTTTTAATTCTTAGTTATGAACACAAACATATTTATGATTTTTAAACTCTAATTTGCAAATATTCATTGGTTTGACGAATTTTTGTCAATATTTGAACTTCAAATGCTAATAAAAAAAATTGTGCCTATGTATTCATAAAATTGAATGATTGAGTTGGGTTGTTGGGTACATAATGAATCTGATTTGATTAATTTTAAATTTAATTTAAAGGTATCAACATTTTTTTTTTTAAATAATTACAACAATGCAATAAATTATTATAGTGTAGCATATCCTAGATTGATAAACCGTATCCACTCATAATCGTTTTTCGTATACAAATTTAATACTATACACAGTAACTCACTTATTGTAACCTACTGTACAGCAGAGTGACATTCAGTTACTTACCACTATTATTTTTGCTTTGGGCATATTGAAAATACAAAAAATAATCCTTCTTTAAATTTTTAAATAATCAAAAGAATTTTTTTTATTAGGAAAAACCCGCGTCAACATAAGCCATTGGATGTGGGATAGTACGGTAGGGGTTACTTTTGTGTATTATTTTTGTGAGTTTCTTAAGTTGGAAGGGTTGTAAATGTGTGGCAAGGATATAAAAGAAACTTTAATATTAATTTTAAATCTATACTATTATTACAATATTACATTTCACTATACATCGATTCAGTAGATAGCACGTGTAAATGTTTATTGTCCACGTCCGGTAGTATTTTAGCCTAAGCTATCGCATGAATGTAAAAAATAGCAGCATTATCACTGCTATTTGTTTATTTCTTCTAGAAGATTCTAGATACTATCGTGGCCAGTCATTGGAATACCCGAAATACCTCATGCAATTATAATATCATGTAAGAATGTAAATTTATTGAAAAATGAATAAATATATTAAACAATTTGATATTTATAGATATAGATGGTACTATATATGGTACTATGATACACTAACAGTATACTATACCTACTATTATACATAAGATTCACAGGCATTATAATATTTAGGGTAATAGGTAAAAAATACCAAGGAAAAAATGAACACGGAAAATAAGAACAACAAAAAAAAAAAAACACGGAAAAAAAGAACAATTTTTAAAAATATTTAAATTAATTATCACGAAAAAAAATTCATTGATATCAAATTATTATTATTAAACACTCAAATATAATAGAAAACAAGTATGGAAGGTTTAATAACTCAAAAACTACTCATTAGAATTTGATTTTAAATTTTAATACATCAACATTTTTAAAAAACTGATCAGCTATATAATTTACAGTATACAAAAAGGGGGTTCTTATTTGAAAAATAAAAGTTTGTAACGCCACAGGACACTCCTTAAGTGGTACAAAAATCTCAAGAATTTGAAAATATGGCCTTTGAATAGGTATATTTAATATCCCTAGTTAACTTTAGAGTTCCTCTTCGTTTCACTAAGTCACGGTATACTTTTTTAATTCCTTTTCATCATACTAACTATGATATAAATGATCCTATTGACCGAAGGATGCGTTTGGCTAATGAGCACCTTACTTTTATTTGTCTATAATTAATTTATATATATTATGTGTTTTATTAATTATTATTATGTCTTCGAAATGTTGTATTCTTTTAGTTTTATAGATTATTAATTTTAATTTCTTTCTGTTATCATATATTGTATTCTTTAATTTTATGTAAAATGCAATTGCACCTTTAGGCCTCGTGCCCTTAATATAATATAATATTTAAAGATTCCAAAATCAGCTTTTGAATAACTTCATTATTAAGGAAAAAGAGGTTAATCAGTGGGCCAAATGTAAACTCCTTCACGAATAACCTTTTTACCTGAATCATCATTAAATGTAAACTCCTATACTAATAACCTAAAAAATCACTTAGCAAAAGTGTGTTTGTTTGTGGTGACAAATTCAATTATAAATAAGACATACTACATACAGTATACTTATTATATACAATATTATGTACATAAGTACATATTTAATATATAAGTTTTGAAACATATGAAGACAATTATTATTAGCTATACTTATAAGTATTGTATGCAATAAAAACAGTTCATTGAACTATCCAGACGTTCACCACATTACAACATCACAATATTTGAAAGAAGTATATACCCAACGCGTATATAACTCCACGCATGAACCGGCAAAAGTCGAAACACAAGACAATAAATTATAATTATGTCTATGCTATTATATATCGTAATATGCGAATACGCTTATGCAGCAGCAATAGTGCTCTGCAGTAGCTACACATACTCGGGATAGATAAAAGAACAAGTTGGGAACGTTGGAGTATCTTCAGTTAAACATCAACTGTATAATATGGGTAATATAATATGTATAACGCACGTAATTATATTATATACGGGCACGGTGCACCTGTATAGTGTTGAAAATATATCATCTAAAACAGTTTGAAGATCGCCATAWAAAGTAATCATATTATAGTATATAAAGATATATATAATAACTATATAAAATAATATTATTCGGCCGCAAAACATGCACACCGCGTACATTTTGTATTTAAAACGAAAATTAGAAAACGTAGTGACACCAATCTAATATTAAAACTACCTCCATATGGCCAAGTCATCATCGCTTGCATCGAAAAAAATATAATATTATGGGTAAAGTAACTATACAAGTCATACACATAACATACTACATTTAATAAGATAAGATTATAAGATTATAATATTATTCATAGTAATTGCTTGAATGCGGATGTAACGTGAAACCGGTGGTTCGTCTCATACCTGTGGTAATGTCAGTATGCATCTTATCCTATATATATTATAGTTTTTGCATTTGYGTGATTTTTGGGGATATTTAATGAATTGCTAAGTGAGCCTGAAATTATTTTTAAAATACGAAAAAAAATTTTAAAGGATATTAAAAGTCATAGTTGAGTGTTGACATTTGATTATTTACAGTAAATATTAATCAAATAGTTCAAATAACTAGTAAAATATTTATGAGTATTTGGTAAATCTATAAAATGTAAAAATATTATATTCTGTAAACTAAGATCTCCGACTACCTCATTTAAAGAGTACCTTGTACTTACCGATATTAATAGTGTTATACCTTACGTTTAATAGATAAATAATCTTTATATGTAATACCTACCAACCGTTACTAAATTATYCAATTTCATAAAAAGATGCTCTTTTAACATACCGATGTAGTAAGCTAAAGTTTCAAAATGTACCTGTATAATGTGTTTATCATTTCCTGTGTTGCAAACATTCGATATTCATTTATGATCAAAACCACGTGTTTGCCATGCAATGATGGTGATATAACTATGAATCACGTGGTGCAAAATCGTGTAAATAACAACATCCGAAAACCGATTAATTCACCTCTTATTTTAATTGTTATTAACATTTATGAAATAAACAAATTTGTAAAACGTCACTTTTAACCTTGTCTCTAAATTTATACTCTATAGTTTAATCATCATATAATATGCTAATGTAAACATATTCATGGTCATTGGTTCAAGTCCGGTCATTTCTTTACGGTATTTACAAACGATTTAATTGTAGTATTTTTTAATGGATTAAACGCCACAGTGTTACACACATAAACACGTGTAAATATTCACACTATATAGATATATAGATTAATTTATGGTATTTCAGTAATTTATAGGTAGGAGGTAACTATCTGATTATGGTATCACAAATAATTTATACTACCTAAATAGAACATTCGAGTATCCCGAGGCCCACGTGGCCACGTGTTGARAGGTGTTTTATCATGATACCTAAGTAAATCGTTCATCTTTGCTTTTACCTAGTTACAATTATAATTCAATAATAATAATACAGAGCCATTAGCATACATTTCAAATACATGCAAATTTGTTTGTCGAAAACATAATCACCGAAAACGTTCTAAGCCGTATATATAATGTATATCGATATAATATTACGTAAGTAGATATATTTAATGACTTTTTTTATAGGAAATCATTGAGATGTAAATGATTAAATTATTGTGAATTTCTGGAAAAAATCTATTAAAATGCAAAAAATTAATAAATAGGCTAAGGTATATAATAAATTATTTATCACACAAAACATATCAATAATATTATTGAAATCAGGAAAAATGTAAAAAGAATTTATGATTTAAAAATAATTATAATACTGGCGTTTTTGTAACGTTCTTATTTAATTATGAGAAAAATAGAAAACATAAAAACATTTTTTTAATATAATATTTTGAATAAAATAAAAAATGTTACTATTTTAATAGTCACTGGTAAAAAAGTAATAACTATTTGTAACTTAAACGCTTGTATAGAAGTAGCTGCAGGATAAACGCTTAATTCTAGGTGTAGTTTTTTAAATTGTTGAAATTGCGTATGTGATATTATTTTCAATAAATTTCACTAAAAAATGTAATAAAAAGATTAAATTTGTAGCGCACAACAATAGGTAGGTCGTAGGTACAACTAGAATATAAAGACCTAAACACTTTCCCATTACTTATACTAGGTATACCAGTGAATGGTGCATCAGATTTTTTTTCGAAGGGATGATTAAAACGAGCGATTGTAAATACAGCTTCCAATAACGTAAAACTTCTTGTACAAACATCAACTGTACACTCTGCTCAGATATTTTAGGCAGATATAATATAGTAATTGTTGTGTGTATTAATTTGTCACTGGTTTTTAAAATTAAGTATGCCTATAAGCTAGGTCTAAGTTAATTTTTATTTTTGAGAATAAACGAACACCATCCAGGAACACCACAATAGGGGATGAAAAATTCCCTATATAATGACGTGTCAAAAATGTTTTGTTAATTCATTTTAATTTTATTAAATATTATAATATCAATTTTAAATCGTTTTTATTTTAATTTTTTTTTTCTTATTCAATATTTCTTATAATTTCTAAAGACAGTGATAGCGAGTTTGCACAAATTGTATGCATATTGAATTTTTTTTTCACGAAACAATTATTTTCAATGAAAGTAAGACGAATTCTTTTCAAGGTCAGATATTATATATTATTTTTTTGATAATTTTAACATATTCAGAATAATACATTACCTATGAGATAATAATATCAGACGCATATAGGTACAGTTCATGGACGATATATACAGTCGAGACGTAGAACGGAATCCCATTCAGACCTTGGGCACATTAATTACGTCGCGTACTTTTGATCATCCGACRTTATGTATACCAACGAGTTTTTTTTATACATATATAGCATCAAAATATAAAATTGTAGCCAATTTTCAATACGCAGTTTAATAATATATAAATCATTTCTCACTGATAGATTTTCATTTTATATATATATATATATATACATATATATATATATAAAATATATTATGTATATTATGAAGGTTTGCCCTCGTTCGGGCCTCAAACAGGTACTTAACGAAAAAAAAAAAAAAACTTGTGTATTAAACTGCCGACGTCAGGTCTTTGGCGGTATTCCATTATTATAATAGGTATATTAAACGCGGGATACTAACATATAGCATAAAAGTATGAAATAAATATGTATTTTACGTATATTATGTTATGTAAGTGTTGGGTAAACATAATTTCAGTTACCAAAGGTTAATCTATTTTCTTAAGATATTAATGAATACAGAAACTGTATAATTTAAATAAACAACTTAATATTATGGTGGTATCCAATATCCACACATAATATATATTACTCGTATATATACTAAACGATAAAATAAAGGATATAAAATATGAATACATTAAACTACATTTTTGGTATTGGCACAAAAATTTACAAAATATAGGTACAATGTTCAAAAATATTTACACTTTTATGCTTAAAATCCATTGAACAATAATTTTATTTTAAAAAGAAATTTTCGATATCTATGGAATTACATACCATATTTGACACCTAAAACTTACATTGTAAACTGCTGAACATTTATTAAACGATGAATGTTTCATGTGAATTATATACTTAATGCGAAGTGAAAATTTGACTATTTTTGAGGAAAATTTAATACGAATATAAATTTTAAAATTTATTATGAAAACAATACGGCTATCAAAGGAACTGCAGGTATTATTTTCTGAAAACAAAAAAAAAACTAGCTAATTCAAAAATATCCGATATGACAGTATGTGTATGATGTATAGGTATCACAGATAAATTAGTTCTTAATGCCTTAATGAATGCCTAATGAAAATTTTATTCCAGAATCTCAGAAATTGTTAATAAGATCAAACTGTTTCAAAAAATTAAAACTAATTGATTGCTGTGAGCCAAAATTACTTCTAAAAAAAAACACATGAGTTGTGTACCTACACATCTACGGTATGACAAAAATTATTCACACGGTATTAAATTTGTCTGAGTAAGGTATATTTATTATTATATAATTAAATCTGAAAATTATTTAAAAAATAGTTTTATAGAAATAAATTAATATGCAAGAAAAAAATTGGYATTGTAGGATATCAACCCGAATATGCTACAAATATGCATGCCCACTGTCATGGATTATGGATCATCACCGACATCACTGCCAATATATGATAATTATCTGTAGTGAATTAAATAGTTATATAATAATTGATACAACTATAAAAGAGTTGGTGTCAAACAATTTTAACGATATTATACCTTTATGTTATAAGAATATTATATTTTTAAATTTTTTTATTGAGAAACGATGTGATTTTACATTATACTTAAATCATTAGTACAACATACAATATATATATATATATATATATATATATATAAAAGTATAAATGTTGACAGTCATAAAGTTCTTAATAAATTAGTTATTTCCTTAAACTATAGTTATATATAGTATGTATGTCTGAATCATAGACCACCTGCATAAAAATTTAACAGAGAATTAATATTTGAATAATTGTTGAATTGAAGGAAATCTACTGTGGAAATTGAAAAAAAATAATACTCCGGGAACACATAAGTTCCTGGTTTCCGTACATGATTTATAAATATATAAATTAATAACTACAAAAATTACAATATTTCTTATCAGACCTGTCATAATTAATATACATGTATAGGTATTTAACATAATTGTATTTAAACCTCAAAAAACATTTATATGGTCAAATTGTTATGTAACATTATATAATTAATTTATATTTATTGTAAAAAATAAGCCGTCTTGGAACAATATTGCACAGATAGATGCAATCATATAACGAGTGTAGACATTACGAATAATGTATTTTATAAAATACAATGTACTTCTGTWTGACATTTTTTGATAATATGGATGTTTTCTTCTCTAACATGGAAACATTATAATTTAATACGAGATCCCACATAAGTTGTTCATATCGATTTATAAATCTTAAAAATACATATGCATAACTCATTTTTAGACTTTTAATATTCCAATAGCACATTTACTTGAATATTACCTAATAATGTCTATTGCATTTAGTAGTATTTTTATATAAATATTTATTTATATGAAATAATATAATATATACTTATATAGTTATATCATGTATTCATGTAAATATATAATATAATATGCGAATATTTCAACCTATTAAATTACTAATATCAATATAAATTATAAATATTTAGTAAAATATCCTAAGAAATAAATAGGCTGACAAATTGTCTCCAATCAGAAACGTTAATTATCGTATACTCGTACAGTAATTGATCATTGAATTCAAATTTAACACTTCCATTTTATTACAGTGACCTAACAGCTAMACAATGTCGATTGTTGTGATGGGTACACTCACACCTTCTATACAGCAGAGCGACTTCCCCAGATTTTGAAAAATATTTTCAGTGCTTCGGTTTATTTTTCATCACCAACCCCGTGGGTATGCCATGAAAGGTATTTTGCTTAGATATTGCAGGCTTTACATTTTTACTAATAATTACAAATTACAAATAATTTAAACCTATATATACCGTGTGTTTACCAATTTATAGGGAACACTGAATTTATGTTGGAATAAGTCGATTTTWTCGAAATTTTTTTTACAAGCTAGTGATACATAAATACACATTTTCAGATAAATTAAAAAATTTTAACCCTCTCGGTAAGCGCATATGCGCAACGCAACTTATTTTTTTTTTAATAGTAACCGGTATTTTTGATACGAAATTCGGATAGACTGAATTTTTCTAAAGCATTTTGACCAATTGCTCCATCRTGGCTCTAAAACCAAAATTGACTGAATGAGAGCCATTCAAATTTTAATAAATAATAAATTTTTACAACTCATTATGAAATGTATAAAACCATTTACAATTACAGTGAAAACTCTTTATAACGAAACTCGTTACAAAGAAAAACTCTATATTACGTAAATAACATTAAGTTAACTTATAATGGTTGTTTGATTTAAAACCTATTAATTACTCTCTTRCGAAAACTTTAAATAACGAAAGAAATCACATGGTCCTTCAGATTCATTATAGARAGTTTTCAYTGTATTTATTATTGGTTACTTTTTGAATATTTTTACGTATACAGTTGTAATCAATTTTAATTAAATAATTTTATATCCATATTAAATTAATCATATTTATAACTCGTATAAAAAAAAAATACGTCATCATATTTAAAAAGTAACCAATAATAAATAATTATAAATGGTTTTACGAATTTTATAATGAATTGTAAAAATGTATTATTTATTAAAATTTGAATGGCTCTCATTCAGTCAATTTTGGTTTTAGAGCCATCATGGTTAATCTGTCAAAATGACTTAAAAAATTCAGTCTATCCGAATTTGGTAATACCGGTTGCTATTATAAAAAATAAGTTGCATTGCGCATGCGCGTACCGAGAGGGTTAAAAAATTTAAATTTATCTGAAAATGTGTACCTATGTACCATTAAAAACAAATTCGATTTTTCCCAACATAATCCGGCTGAGAAATGCAGTGTTCCCTAGATTGCTGAACACACGGTATATATAAATATTGTATTTTTTAATATCGAGCAAGATTGACGTCTGCTAGTAATTAAGAACGTCTAAAAAATTAAAATGTCCCGTTGATATAAAACATTATAAAACTTTATATAAGATCATTAACCTATTCAGTCTTTCAAGAATTTTTCAATGAAATCCAATGACGATTCCAATCCATAAATGCATTGACCCCTGAACCTAAGGCCGATGACCGTCTGGCGTCTACAAATCACCAAGATGAGAAATATGTAAATTAACGAAAGAAGAACAGGGTTTGAATAACGAACTCAAAAAAAAAAATAATATATATACCTGCTATAGTTGTCCTTGGGTGGACGTTGACTTAACCACGTTGTCTATACTGTGATTCTTAAATCCAGAAGCATATTTCCCTTGAAAGATGGACGCCAACAACCTCCAAATGAAAGGGGTCCTCAAAATATATACAGTATATACTTATACTATTATATACTTTGGCAAGTACATACTTAGTGGAAAACAGTGATTTATTCTTTGTGCAGTTGAAGTTATATAACTTTGACTTGGAATTWAAAAAATCAGTAATTTATATATAAATCAGGTATTTATATGTTTATAATAAATCTCATATCATTATTGTAAGTATATATCTTGAAAATAAATGTGTTAAACAAACGATTTTAACGATTTATAAACAAGTATAAGATGTGGACATACTATAAGAAACTAAGAAAAATGAAGATCCAAAAATAAATATATATTTATATAATATTATTTTAACAATTAAAAATCATTGAAAAAAAAATATTATTATTATATATTGGCAGTATTCAGGGCCTCAGGGGTATTATCATTGGGTGATTTATCCCTTCCTTCGAGATATCAAGTTAAAATTACTTTTTAGCTTAATCTAAGCTTACCAAACAAAACTCGTGCAAGAATATAATTAAAATCAGAATCTATATACAATTATATAAATAGCCTGGTGCGTATAACCATGAATATATTGTATATAACAACAGTACCTACTTATTGTAATATAATGGTTAAAATTACAACCCCAATAACAATAATATTAGTCATTACTCATTCATGGATACGCAGAAGGTCCTGTTGCGTTTAAAACATTATAAGTTACAAAAATGTTGAAATGTGTATTATTAATAACTTGTTTAGATATTTTGTAATATACACACACACATATATATATATATATGTGTGTGTTGGTATATGTATATTGTATATACTTATATTGCATTTTGATGATAATATTACAATACAATTGTATTTTTATTTGCATATAAATTCGTTTTATAATGTAAGAAATACAAATATTATACAGATAAAATAAAATAATTGACTCTTTGTGTAGTTTTTGAWTTATTAAAAAAAWTATTTATTTTTATTCAATAAATTAAATTAAAATTATATTCTGTATTTCGAATTTGACTTTGTAGGAAACTGTTCTATTTACTTGTATCAATCACTGTTGTTTTACAATTGATTTTCTTATGGAAAACATTTTTGAGCTTAAAAGTTTTTGAGGCGTTGCAGGGTATGTTTATACATCGCATACCTAAGTGATTGTATTTTTTACCATCGTTTTTTTAACCTAACTATCATTTTTCTGCGCTAGTCAAAAATTTTTTTAATTGGTCTTAAGTATTGAAATACAATGTTATAGATAAAATTATATGTGTGCCTAAATATTTACATTTAAATAATTTAAGTACCTTCTAAATTAGTATTATTAGATATAAAATATTCATAATATTATATTAGGTTATTGTATGGMAAATATAAAGATCCTGATTTTCGAGCGTAGCAAGAAAAATATTTATTTTTTTTGTAATAACTCTATTACTAATAGTAGTACTACAATATATATTTGCCTGCTAATTTTTTTGGGGGTCGTTCAGTTAGCGTACCTTTCAAAAAGTTAAAATGATGCTTTAAGCTAAAGACAATAGTAAAAAAAAAATAAATGTTTTAAATAATATTCAATTTTATGAAGAAACAATTATTTAAAAATTTAACAAAAAACATATAATATATAATGATATATAATAATATGTTCAAAATTAATATATAGGTATATACTAATTAGGTCTATACAAGTTATCAATAAACACTATAACAAATCTACAAAACAACAAATCTATCACCGTCGCATAAATGCCTGTCAATCCGAAGTCTTAAAAGACTTAAAAGGAAGTATTGGCGAGTGGTTGACAGTATACCAGGTTTCCGCATGACTCTATAGCTAGCTAAGCTATCTAGCTATACGACTATTTCAGAGCACTGAAAGAACCAAGCACAACAGTTGTGAAAAGTATTCGAATGATATATCATACTATATTCAATGTAGGTCACAARGATTTATCATGTAAATTAAAATATGGCTAGTACCTACCTAGGTATATTATTATAATTTATGTTGCATATAGAAATGTTCAAGAACTTTTATAGATAAACAAGTACTTACCTATAATCATTAGTTTATTCAGGCCTTCTTGGATAAAGAGGCACATTGAAAATAACAGTGTTATAAAAGGGGCGACGGGACAGCACGTCTTGAAGGCTTATTTGTGCTTCGAGGTAAGGAGAAGGTAAGCAACTCATAATTATTAATTAAGTTGCACATACAACTTTATACATCATATGCGACTTACTT